TATGCAGAATATAAGCAGTAATAATCCTATTCAGGGCACCTGGGTGGCTCAGTTGTTGAGCATCTGACTCTTGATTTCCACTCAGGTCATGATCTCATGGTCATGAGATCAAGCCCTGCATCAGGCTCCTCACGGAGCATGGATCCTGCTTGAGATTCTCTCTCTGCCCCTTTCCCCTGCTCATGTGCTCTCTCTTAAAAAAAAAAAAAAAAAATCCCATTCTGTTCTTTCTATTCTGTTATTTGGACGTTAACAGTGTTCAGTTTGGAGCACCTGACTTTACGAAAAATATAAGCATAATGAATCTTGTTTATTTGCATTCACAATGGATAAGGAACATTGAAGGAATATATATATAGCCAGGTTGGTGGGGGAGGGGAGGGTGTTGAGGGGAGGGATAGGATGATGACCTTCAAGTACTTAATTCATTTGTGGAATCAGGCTAATTACATCCTGCAAGACTCCAGGGGTCAAAATATGGAGCAGACGTGCTGAGACCCTACTATATGCCCAGTCCTTTATAATACCTGAATGTTATAAGGCAATATATTTCTGAATAAATTTAACAAAACTGGGAAGGGAGTGGGTATTCCCTCCCTTGAGTCCAAGGAAAGGTTATCCATGATTCTCAAATATGTCTGTACCTTAGTGTCTAACTGGTTTGGGGATAGAGCCTGGAATTTTTTACCAAGGTCCCCAGCCATTTATAATGGACAGTCAACTTTGAGAAATATTAGGCTAGGTAATTGTCTGGATGTAAATTAATGTGAAATTAAAATGGAGAGGAAGGTAAATGGAAATTAATATTTACCACATATTATATGCCAGGCATTGTGCTTGGCATTTTCACACTCTAACCTGTATTAACTATGTTAATACTTGGAATCTGTTAGCACAGTGCCTGGCATATAGTAAACTCCCAAATGTATGCTGTTATCCTCTCTACAACCTTATATTGACATTCTCCAAATACATCCTGGGAGAATACTAGCTTATAATATAGGTATTATCATCCCTGCATGATGGACAAGGAAACCAAGACTCAGAGAAGGTATTTATTTTGGACACTAATAAGACATCTGTGGGTTTATAAAAAAATTAGCAGCCTACCTAAGTGGCCCTTTTTATTTTAATAGAATTTTAATAGAAGAAGAAATCTCTTCCTGACCTGGTCTCAAAAAAATGACATTAACTATAAATCCTGAAAAAGTGAAGCCAAAAAGTAGACATTTTTTCCTAATGTGGCCTGACAGAAACTCTTCTGTGAGTCTTGAGAACCCCTGAGGTCAGAGGAAATGGATTAAAGTGGCCCTTCAGAGCTAAAACAAAGCACTTCAAGCAAACATGGAGAAAGTACTGCTCACAAGTGAAATAGCTCCCATATATATATAGTGAATGCATAAATATTGTATCTGTCACATCCATAGTCTAGGACTTCAATTATATATTTAACACTGAGGGAGGGAAAGTTGGTCCTGAAGGGACAATCCTGATCATCTCTGACACCTTCTCTTTGCCACGTTAATCCTGAGTTTTCTTGTGCACATGACTGGTTTGAGTATGTGAATTTGCTGAAGAGGAAACATTCAAGAAAAGATACTCCCTCCTCAATGAGATTGTAAGTTCCTCAATTGCAAGGACAACCTTCACTTTACTAGCCCGTATAGCCCTTAATGTAGTAGCCAATACAAAATAATAACTGCTGCTGCAAGATTGTACTGCAAGGCTACACTAATTTTCAAAAATAAAATATGCTTCAAGTGGTGAGCATTGAATTGACTTGGTACAATGCTATATTCAGATTTTTTTTTTCTGTTGCCTGGCCAATTGTTAAAATTTAGAGCCTATGTTAACATACACAAAATGGTATAGCTGATGACTGAAATTTTATTTTCTGACCTTCAGGTACATCTGTAAACCAAAAATACAAAACATTTTATTCTAGAAGAATATGAATCTATAGGTCCTAAATGTTAAGGGTTTACTTTTTTTTTTCTTTTTTGTTAAGGGACTACTTTATTCTTTATTAATTATTATTTTTTTTTTAAGTAGGCTTCACATCCAGCAGAGCATAATGCAGGGCTTGAACTCACAACCCTGAGATCAAGACCTGAGGTGCAATCAAGAGTCAGACACGTAACCATCTGAGCCACCCAGGCAACCCAATGGGACTACTTTATTATTACTATTATTTTTTTAATGTTTATTTATTTTTGAAGGAGAGAGGGACAGAGCATGAGCGGGGGGAAGAGCAGAGAAAGAGGGAGACACAGAATCCAAAGCAGGCTCCGGGCCCTGAGCTGTCAGCACAGAGCCCAAAGCAGGGCTTTAACTCATGAACCATGAGATCATGACCTGAGCCAAAGTCAGGTGCTTAACTAACTGAGCCACCCAGGCTCCCCTTCCCCCAGTTTTTAACAATAAAGGGAATGACTTTATCTTCTTTTTGTTACCTTCTGAAGGCCTGACAGAATGCCTTGATAAATATTTGTGGAATTCACTGTTAACAAATTATGTGTTATTTTCTAGAACAGTAAGTCCCTGTAAGTACACCAAGTACTTGAAATATTTCATCTTCCCTAAAGGGAACAGAAGAACTGTTAAGGCAGAAGAGTTATCAGGCCTTGAAAATTTTGACACAAATAGAAAGTGGGGAGGTTTGAAGAAAAGAATGAACAAGTTTTTACAGCTGAGAAAGTATGAGAAGGGTTTATCACTTATGACAGAAACTCTGTTTGCTTATTAAATGCATAAGCAAATAAAAAGAACCTGAATGACACAAGAATATCATTGACAGAGATAGAAATGGAAGCTTTAAGGAAGTGAAGGGAGTGGTGGTCCTGCACAAGCTATATGGAAAAAAGTGACATCATGAGTAAGCACTTGCAATTGTGAACTAAAGCAAAACAACAGTAACAACCCTCCCAACCTTGCAAGGTACAGAGCAGTGTGCCCTAGTTTCTTACTTCTGGGATAATGTCTGTTGTATCCGTTTTTAGAATTTTAATAGTTCCATAATCTGTTATTTTGAACAATTCACACGTTTATGGGCAGGGTGGAAAAAAAAGAAATCTAGCAGAATAACATGCTTTTATTTTACCACGATGCATATACAGAAAGACAAATATCCCAATGGTACATTTCCAGTTTGAAAGAGCAATCTCACAAGTATTTATGATATTTAGGAAAAGAGACACATCATTTACCAAGTTGTTACCAGGGTAAGTTACCAAGAAAGACAATCAAGTCAAACATTTTTTGTAGGTTATTTTTCCATGAAGACAACAATTCCCAGTCTTCAAAATCTGACAAAACCAAGTTACTCAAATTATATTTCTAAGAATACATTTTTAACAGAAACAAGAGGTTGAAAACTCATAAATATTCAGTTAAGTCTCTATATCTTACAGGAAAATAAAATTGTTATTTTTCCAAATGTTCCCAACAGAAAGCAAAAAGAAAGCCTGTACAGCTCGGTTTTCCCATTAAGCAGAAACAGAAAATGTTATTTTACTAAACACTAGTGGGAAAAAAAAACACAGTACTAATCTTCCACGTAAATGAAAACAGAAAATGAAACAACAGAATGAAAACAACAGAAAGCACCCAAAGTTGCTTTGTTTCTTTAAAGTATTCTTCTCTAAGCAACACATTTAACACTCAATTCTCCCATAGAAATCCTGAGAAAAAGTATTTCTCCTCCCATTACCACTGATAGAAAAAGAACCTTTTCCTTGAAGGCTCTGCCAAGCCAGTCTTAATCTTAGGCCCAATTTTTATCTTGCTCATTTTCGCCTGTGGTCGTCTGCTGTTTCCCCCGCTTAGAGCACCCATCAAAAGCTCTAGTTCTTCCATGACTATGAACTAGATATCACTTCATCTATATCTGTCTCCTTTTAAACCCTCTAGGTGTCGCTAAAGGGAGTGGAGGATGGGGAAGAATGCAGAGGGAAATAAGAGCTCTAGAAGTCTATTTTACCGGACAACCTGTCCCTGGAAATCATAAAGAGCTAAAGCTAAATTAAACTAAAAGGCCTACTTTTGAGCTATCATTTTTTTTTTCTTTAAGAGACAAGAGGCAGACAGGGAGAAAGTGTACTACCACCCTGGCACTTAACCATGTTCAGGGCAAGGAGAAGAGGCACAAAGAGGTATACCTAGGTTTTGTGTGAATTTACTAGTTGAGGCTGAGAAAGCCTGGTACTTGGAATGGACACCATCCTTACTCTTGCCATAAGAATAAAGTCTTAACTTGTCACCTTAACTACTTGCCTGACAGTCGGGTTCTGGATCATGAAGGGAGAGGAGAGAGGGGGTAAGGAATCAAGGATGTCTTTTGAGAAAGGAATGGAAGGGTCTTTTGTGTGCTGGCAGGAAATCTGGGTCCATCACCAGCTCTAGGGATTCTTGTTTAAAAGAAACAAGACCACAGTGGGGCTGACAGTGATCTGCAAGGTATTCATCCAGTAGGTAGTAGCCCAAGGTGGGTGGGCATAGCCAGTAGTAAGCAGTAGGTGACTAGAGGTACAAGAAGAGCCACAGAGTCACATAAATAAGACCAACTGGCCCACTGCTGCTCTCTTGATATTAATGCCCCACAATTGTCTGCCTATACTGCAGAGCAAAATGGGTAGAATGGGCTCCTAGGCAAAGTTAGAATTCCAGGTGGAAAGAGTCAAAAAGCCCTAGGAACAAACAGGGTCCATGCAGTGCAGATAAAGGCAGTGCAATTTACAGCATCATTTGCTTGGCTTAGGAGTGATGTGAATCATGACCATGCAGCATGTGACAGTAATGCAGAATAGCATGAAGGCCATGTGGAAATGGAGGAGCAAGGTCTTGAAAGTCTCAATCTCGAGGTTGAGAAAACTGTCCAGAGGAAGAGGTTGTAAAAATGTCAGGGGGAAAAAAGAAAAAAAAAAAAAAAAAAAAAAAAAAAAAAAAAAAAAAAAAAAAGGTAGAAGGCATACCCATTTCTTGTTGTCCAAGCACAAGTCCAGCAAGGGGTAGTAGGGACCTTGCACAGTATTTCCAAAGGCAGAGATTAACCAGACTGGAATCCAAAGGGCCTGGGGATCTCTACAGGCTCTCTTATTGGGCGACGTCTGGCTCTACGGACTCCTTCACGCAACAGGTAATACTGCAGTGGATTGGGCCACAAGTCCTCTTTGATAATTTCAGCAATCTTGTCAGACTCTGGAAGGCTATGGTCTGAAAACCAGGTGAAGAAATTGCAGACGACATCTTGGTTCCTGCGAATGAAGGACTGGGGTTCATGGCCCCGGCGCCATATGATTGGAGTGGAAAGAGACACCACTCGGCCAGAGGCTCTGACCTCATATTCTTTGACAATAAGCTTGTTTCTGAAGTAGGGGTTTCTTCGAAAGAAGAACTTGAACTTGCAGCCAGTTCTGGGGTGTCTGAGCTCCTTCACCTCCAAATTGGTTATGTATCTTAACATCTCGGCATCTTGGCCCCTAATCATGGGGGACAACTGGGGGTGGTTCCGAAAGGCAGTCACCCAGAAGCCCGGGATATTCTGAATGATGTAGTTCCTCCTCTCCAGGTAGTGACGACGCATGCGCCCAAATTTCTGCTCCAGTTGTTGAAAGGCTCTGTCAGCCTGAGCATTCACAGTGTCCAGTTCCAGCTGGATGGCTTCCAGGGGGTTCATGCGAAGATCCATATTCAAGGGTCGGAGCCCCGCGTCCTCCTTCACCTCCTCTACCACTCTATTTTCCTCCATCATTTCTATTTCTTCCCCTACTTGCTTCTCTATCTCCATCTTCTGCTCCACCACCTCCTCCTCCTTCACTCCTTCCTTCTCCACCGTCTCCTCTTCCTTCACTCCCTTCTTCTCCACCGCTTCATCCACTGCTACCGAGAAAACGGTGCATTTTTCTGTCTCCACTTCACTGGCCTTCACCTCTTCCAACACCTCAGACCCCGACCTCTCTGCAACACAGGTTCCTGGGGGCTTCTCCCCACCTGGGCCGCCCGGCTCTCCACTCCGACAGCCATTTTTCAAGCTGTTGTCCGTTGCCACGGACACAGACCCAGCTTCCAGGCCTTCCGTTAGAGGCGGGGCCTCCGCCCGACCGGCTTCGGTCTCTACGAAACCTCGATCCCCACCGCCTCGGATCTGGGGAGTTTGGCCACAGCCCGCGCGGGCGTGGAAGGCTCCCCGCTCCTCTGGAAGCTGAGGCGGTGGGAGCGCGACAGTCTCCGAGCTTCCCTCACCCGGCTCCGCCATCACCTGTGACGCCTCGGTTTCCTCACGGAGCTTTAGGCGCTGGTGTGGGTCGGGGTCTCCTGGGGTACGGCCGAGAGTCGTGAGACTGCGAGTTTGAGGAAAAGGGGACGTCTCAGCTCCATCCTGGCCGCTCATGTTAGCAGCAGCCTGACCAACGACAGATTAACGGCTGTTTTGCTCACAGACAACGCCCCCTCCTAAACCGGCGGCTCGCGCCACCCACCCTGAAATCCCGCGAGAGTCTCTGCGAGGGTGACGTCAGGGCCGTGGATCTCACCAGAACGCGAGAAGTGGCTGCTTGCTCCGCCCCTGCTTGCGGTCCCAGCTTGTTGCCTTTAGTTTTACTTGTATGGATTTAGGAGGGTGAAGCAATAATTTGACTTATGTGCATAAATGTATTTGGGACTCAGAGACTGAAGGCAGTGAGGGCACTCCCAGCGATGCATCTGGAAACTGCCTGCAGCATGTAAGCTGGGGTACTGGTAGCGATCGCAGCACTACACTGCCTGTTGTCTGAAAACACACGTTTTACCGGGTCTGCGTATGTATTTTTTAGACCGGAAGATAGATTTCTTCACTGTTACCCCATAGTGGCCAGAAACAAAAATCTTTTTATTTTTAAACTGAGGTGAATAGCAATTTGTTTCTCTTTTCTCCAGTAGAAATGACATGAAAGTATCAACTCCAACCTCTAACATTAGTGGGAGAAAACTACTCAGCGTTTTACCACCAAAGTGATGCATAGTATTCCTTGGTAGTTCTAAATTTATAATATGCATCAAAGAAGAGTCTGTGATACATAGTGTCTGCAGGAATTAAGCCAGGGTCAATTAGCTGTCTCTTGCTCCATGACCCCTCACTGCAGAAAATTAGAAAAGCTGTTTTCAGCCCCATAAACTATTAATCTGTTAACGAATTTAGTTCCGCAGAAGGCCCTAATGAAGTATGTATTCATGGCAGTCAGTTCATAGACTTGATTTAAGAGGGATGTCAGTGTCTCTAGTTTTTAGTTTGTTTACTTGTGAGGAAAATGCGTTAGAGAGCTACAAGGCTTCAGAGAAATACCAGTGGGGGACTACCCACCAACGTTTTTATAAAGAAAATCTCATTAAAATGGATAATCAAGATGGTCTTGAAGTAGAAAACAAACTTGCAGAATGCCTGTGTGCAGTTAGTTGACTCGAGGTGTAAAGTAGGCAAACATTTTTTCCTGTTTGCTTTGCCTAATAATGGCCCCCAAAGACGTTCACTTCCTAATCTTCAGAACCTATGGATATGTTATCTTATGTGGCAAAAGGGACTTTGCAGATACGATTAGGTTGAGGATCTGCAGATGGGAGGATTACACTGAATTATCCAGGTGGGTGCCATGGAATTACAAGAGTCCTTATAAAAAGGAGTTAGGAGTATCAGTCTGAGAATACATGACAATCAAATCAGAAGTGAGAAAAAAAGAGAAAGAGATGTGAAGATGCTCTGCTGCTGGCTTTGAAGGTGGCAGAAGGAACCAGGATCCAAGGAATGAAGGCAGCATCCAGAAGCTGGAAAGGTAAGGAAATAGATTCTCCTGTAGAGCCTTCAAAGGAATGCAGCACTGCCAACATCTTGATGATGTCTCACCTCCAGAACTATGCAAAAATTAATTTGTGTGGTTTTAAGCTATTAAGTTTGTGGTAATTTGTTACTAAAGCAATATGAAATGAATACTCCTTGGATTGAGGTTTGGTTGCATCTCTGTGTGTGTCCTGTTTTTCCTAGCAGCAGCTCCTTCAACCTTGCCCATCGCTTCCTCTGAGGTCCTGCCTCCTGCCCAACAGCTGTGATGTATCATATCCTGAGCCTCTTTTTGGTTATTGAGACCAGAATTAGGCAACACCCAGGAAGAAAATTAAAGCTAAAACCTACCACAAAAGATATTTGAGAAGACTGTGAACTCCAAGGACAGTCAGAGTTTTGTTTACTACTGTTTACCTAGTGCCTAGCACACTGCCTTGCACAGTGTTACACTACTGGAATGTTGAATAGGGGAACAAGTGGACAGAATACAGTTTCTCCAGCCTAAGTGGAAATTTTTTTTTAATGTTCATCTATTTATTTTTGTGAGAGAGTGAGCGCACAAGCGGGGGAGAGAGACAGAGAGAGAACCCTAAGCAGGCTCCACGTTGTCCACAAAGAGCCTTACATGGGGCTCCATTTCACTACTGTGAGATCATAACCTGAGCTGAAATCAAAAGTCAAGATGCTGAACCGACTGAGCCACGCTGGCACCCCCTAAAGTGAAAACGTATACTAAGTGAAAACTTCTATTTTTAAGCAGAAGACTATTGCGAGGCTTTCACCAGTACTAGATGTGCTTTATTTGTCAAAGGCACTATTATGATTTCTGCAAGTGTATTTAATTAGTGCTCTGATAATGTTAGGAAAGCCTCCAATCAGAGATGGTGCATGTAATGTAATAAGGATTCTAGTGAGTGTAATTTCTCCAGATAGTGTTGAGACACTGTGGAGGAACCTTTCCTTCTCTTACTGTTAGTACATCTGGAAAAGCCATAGTATGGGATATTTGATTGAAAATATATAGAAAATGAGGAAAAACTTAAATTTCTTTTACTTGTCTGAAAGTCACAGTACAGAAATGATTGTGGTGATCATTATAGAAGATGGAGAGTCCAGGTTATGATCACTTTTGAGTAAGAGAAGGTCTAGCGAGAAACAAGGATTAAGAGGGAAAAGCAGATTTATGTATTTTGTGCCACTTTTTTTTTTTTTTAGAAAGAATCTTTACACAGAAGAAGGAACTCTTTATGATTTCAGTCTGCATCAAGCCTCATGTGCTCAAGGAGTTATTTTGCCATGTAGGAAAAAAAAGAATATATGATTACTATTTGCTACAGAAAATTGTACTTAATATATTAATAATATTACTTGTGGCTATTACTTGTGGAAGTTTTTCCTTATCTTTTTGAATCTACAGTCTCAAAAGGACTATGTATCTCTTTTACATGACAGAGTTATCTTGCTAACTGAAATATTCTCTTTTTCGGCAGATACTGTTCATTCTCTAAGACCCCATCACAAACCTATCTTGCTTTAGAATGTGCCAGGCATTTTACGTGCATTAAATTGTCAAATTTTTAAAAGAGGAAACGATAACTCTGAGAGGTTAACTAACTTAACCAAGGTCATGCATAAAAACTGATACATTTCCCCTCCCTTCTCCTAAGGGCAACTTTCCTGTACATGGACTCATTAATCTTCCTGCTCTGAATTCCTACAAATGTTTTATGAGCTGTGTGAGTTCTCCTTGATTGCCCTGGCTTCACATTTCTTCCATTGTAAGAAATATATTTTCACATTTCTGTAATCAGAATGGGTCATAAGCACTGTGAGCCAGGTGTCATTCATGACATGTTAACTGTCGTTGCCTGAGCACGTGAGAACTTGGTTGTTGTTACTGATTTCATTTTGGACAACTTTCAAAACCATCTGAAGAAGGGTTACAGCCACTGGTTGTTGTTTGAAAACTTTCCATCAGTATCTTTGGAAGGCTCAAAAAAGTGCCAACATCAAAACCTAATAACTGGTGTCTGTGGCTTTAAAGAAAATCCTAGATACAAGAGTTGAGCACTCCTTTAAGAAATATAGCATCATCAACGTAGTTGAGAGAAGAGAGAATAATATTGTTTGGAAAAACATAAATATTCACAATTCTGAGTCAAAAACTGTTGCAGAAAGCTTTCTGAATATGAAGACATTTTAGAAATATCTGAACAATTTATTTTGTTTTTGTTTTTTCTTTTATATATATATCCAAGTGTGATATTTGATTATGTCTAAATAAGTCTAAAAGAGCTTTTAGGTGCTCCTGGCTGGCTCAGTTGGTAGAGCAACTGAGTCTTGATCTCAGGGTCATGACTTCAAGCCCCACATTGGGTGTGGAGATCACTTAAATAAATAAAACTTAAAAAAAATAAAAGAGCTTTTTAAAGATAAAGTAAAAATTATGTATAACTGCATTGTGTCATAATTTTAGCAGCAATAGTTTTTTTTTTTTCTGTCTTCATGATATTTAAGTAATACTGTGTTTTATAACTTATAATGTCTTGAGTTAGATGAAATACCATAGTTTACTTCCTGGAAAATCCATTGCACAGTAAAATAGTGCAAACATATTTTGTTTTTGCATGTAAAATGATGTTAAACTGAAGGCTTACATAAGTAAATATAGGTAGATTTCCCCCTCTGAAGTGGGACAACTTTTTTGTTGTTGAGGACTTATATACTGTAGGTATATAGCATTCCTGACCCTAGCTAATGGAAGTCAATAACATTCTTGTTAATAACCAAAATACACCTGCACAGATTTCTAAGGCATGCGAAAGGAAGGTACATCTACTTAGAATCTGTTACTTAGTGGTTATGGAATTACCATTGATTTTTCACTAGAGGGAGCAACTGGTCTTTAAGAAAATGACATGTCTTTGGAATTTTCTTTCACTATAAATGAAATACTCTTGTAATTTAAATTGAATTGAAATTTTTACTCCTATTAAGCTGTAATTGTGGCAAAGTAGTTTTCTCATATGGGGCTTAGATTTGTTATGATGGCTTCCAATAATCAAATCAAGCCTAAATATCTCATATGACCCCGCCTACTCCCAACAAGGTCTCTACCTCTGTAGACTAGAATGGACCTGGTTTCAAGTTCCAGCTAGGCCATTCACTAGCTGTTTAACCCAGACAAGTCGCTTCTACTCTCTGAGCCAGTTTCCTCATATGTTAGAGACTATAATACACACTATACCAGCCTGTTATGAAGATGAAATAAGATATGTGTAAAATGTTTAGCACTGTTAGCTGTCAATGAATAAAAGCTGATAGTATTATTTGTAATGTTTTATACTAAAACTTACATATATTAAAATTAAACTATTGTGCAAGATAGTCAGGCACTAAATTCCTTTATAAAGCAGTTGTGTTTAGGATTCAGACAAGAAAGACATCCATGTGTATTAGAGTGGTCAATAAAAGCTTTATCCAGGAAACGACACTTGTTTTGTGTCCTACTATATGTAATAATTGAACAACATGAAAAAGAAGTCGGGATGAGGGTATAGTAATCACACTTGTTTACT